TAAAGACGTACAACAGGCGAGCTTAACTCTGTAAGAGTTCTCTTCCAGCAAACCCTGAGTGAAAAGGAGCGTTAATTACCAACGGGCTGTGTGCGTATTTATTTAAACTTCAAAACATATGACGAATTTAACACCTAATGGCGTTGTTTACCAGTCAACCATGAAGCAAGCAGAAAGTAAAATAAACGCTGCAATATATATATATAATAAGCGAGAATATATATTTACATTATTGCATGTGTTACATCTTTTTTTTTTAATATTATTTTAAGGGCTTTTACCTTTTTCAGATATATCAGTCCTATTGTACCCTGAACTGATTTCTCAAACAAAACTTTATCTACTTTCCCTAGACGCGGAAAGAGAAGAATTAATGGGCATCAATAATTTACAGAGATGTTCAAAAATTTCTGGTTTAAGTTCAACTAACATAGATTGAATAAGGCCAGCGTTAAATTTATTCAAGTTAAAGTGGCGCATGAATTCTTCTCTTTCCTTCGTGTTAATACGACACTCTAATAGAATATGATGCACATCATCGATGGTATTACAAGTTTGACAATGGGGTGACAAGGACTTTCCCATCATATGTGCAAATTTTTTTGATGGATAATGACCAGATCGCAGACGAACAGCTAATTTAATACTGTACCTATTGATTTTAATTCCACAAAACCAAGGAATATGTGGAGGTTCAGCCTGAATAGTTTTGTACCAAATGTATTACATCTTTATATGCACTTAAAAATGACAGAATTTTTATCATCGTGCGTGCGTATTGCTTAGAAGAGATCGCTTTTTATAAAGTCACTGTTTTCTCACTGTGATCATTTCTCGTAATTGTTTGTATCTATAATAAGTTTACTATTGTAGTCTTATGGAGGAAACGATAAAGGGTATCTATCTATCTATAATGTTCCACCTAGTATTATGTATTAACAAAAACCCTTGGCTTATCATGGATAGTAAATAGTCGTGGACCTCTTACGTTAATGACATAACTAGACATATGTACTCATCTCACTCTCACAAACGTCTCCAATACTTTCTCTGTATCAATGCCAATATTTTAAATGAATTAATGAAAACTCTTTTTTATTCCCTTCAACGAATGACACAGATTATAAAGATTAACAATATGTACACAAACGAAATGATTAATTAATTAAATAAAAGCAAAATAAAAAGGCAACAATAGGCGGCCTTGTCGCTAAATAGCGATCTCTTTCAGGCAACATTATGGTTGCTCAATCAATTCTACTTCGCATTCTAGATTATGGCAACCTCTGTTTCTTAAATTGGAGAGAGAAATTGTAAAATAAACTTGAGCGGTTATAACATTTAGCAATTAGATTTATTTTCAGTTTACTAAAATATAGTCATATCTAGGAATACCGCGCTTGTTCAAAGTGGTTCCCGATCCGACTTCATCGTGAAATACATATACTGTCTATCTATATTCGTTTTTTTTATGTACTGCTATTTCAGAAATAAATTATGCCGAGGAAAGCGGAAGAATTGCTTTCCTTGTTTACTTTTTTTTAAATTTACCTGCTACAGTAGCACCACCCTAATTTATTATTCATTATTGTCTATACATTTAACCTACACCTTTTTATATACAGATGGTTATCGAGTGTTATCTTTATCTCTAATCTCCATAATAGGTCATAAATTAAGTAATAGTCAGTTTCCTTATTCTTAGGTACGTTCAAAGATTTTCCTTGTTCTTAGAGTACGTTACATGTACTCCTAATAAATAAAAAAAAAACTCTATGGAATTTTCTTCTTCTAAATATCCTTAGACTACTCCTTAATCTAAGTATATTACACTGTCTATGATATTTTCTTTATTGAACCACAGCCTATAGTCATTAATCTAAAGAATTTTTACTTTTAAATTAGGAATTGTCACCTAGCGATTGAGGAAAAACTGAGAGAATTATTATTTTCTCTCAGTTTTTCCTCAATACATAGATACTAGGGGTGGGTAATGTTTAGCAATATCTATATATTATTAAACGTAATTACTACGACGTTGCTACGTTTCAACAAGTTAGTTTATTTATTTATTTTAAGACCTTCTTCTTTTTTTTTATATACAGCTTAGAATGGCAAACAAACTGACGGCCCACCTGATGGAAAGTGGTTACCGTCGCCTATAGACATGAGCAGTACCATGGACATAACAGAGTATACTGTTTCGTCCATGAAACCCCTCATACGTTGCCATTCCTGAGGACTCAGGTGTTATTCCTCTGTACCCTGTAAATTCACGCCATATCCCACCGTTCAAACCGAAACTCAGCCATGCAAACACAACTGCTTCACGGTAGAAACACGAATGGGACAGACTTCTATATTAGCCTTTTCCAAAGTGGGCGATAACGTCCCTTTGTGGGCGCTGCAGGCCTAAAGGGGAACGGTAAGAGACCCAGAATAAAATGGGGGCGTTGTGTAGAGGCTTGGGGTGGTGATTTGTTGATCTTGAGGTAATAATGGTTTTTAAGTAGGTGAAAAAATGGGGGAGCTAAAAATAATTTGTGGGCAAAAGTGGGCAGTAGACAAAATAAGTTTGGGAACTCCTGTTCTATACGAACGTTCTAAAGTCTAAGTCGAGACTTTGTCTCCCTTTGTGTGTTCTACCGCTTGTATAATTGATTGTCTCCTAAGGAATCATTTAAAATGATGACCTTGAGCACCTTTAGCTGGGGGGGGGGGGGAAGGGATTGTTAGTAATTCTTTTTTTTTATACAACTTAGAATGGCAAACAAGCTGACGGTCCACCTGATGGAAAGTGGTAACCGTCGCCTATAGACACAAGCAGTATCATGGACATAACAGAGTATACTGTTTCGCCCATGATACCAGATTCTGACTGGCTGATTACCAGTCTTATTGCTAGCAATATACGACCTCCTTGTGTTTCCCCTGGAAATCATCGTAATGCATTAGAGGTTCTTTTTTAGGCCGAGATGAGAATGGAATGGTAACCGCGCCCGCGCTATCGGTATACGCTGGCGAGGCACCAGTGAGGGATGATAGGTGACGATGAAAACAGGTCAGTTAGCTCATCGTGACGAATTTCACTAGAATTAACCACCATGGTTTCCAAGGGGAACTGCATGGAGCTCGACCTAATAGGGTGTATTGCTAGCAATGGCTCGGTTAAACCCCATTACTTACAGTCCCTTTTCCTCCATAATAGCCGTTATCTGTCCTATGCTGAACAAAGACCTCACGCATAGACTGTTATAAAGAACGGGGCCGTTTCCTATGGCCGTTTAGCATCAGAATAATCTTGCTAGTAGTCGCCGCGCGTGGCAAGCGGATTGGCAACCGCAGTTAGGATTTGATGATAAGTTAAGAGGGACGCCGCCCATCACTCGACCATTAAGTTCTCTCAGTCAAATTTCACGACACCCGCGGGAATGGAAGGGGTGGTCCATTCTATGATGGGACCACACAGCATTATATATTTGTATACAGACTATATAAAAATAAAACAGGCATTTCTCCGTTTACTTCTAAACCACTCAACAGATTTTAATACATTCGATATTTTTCAGATTTCATGGACATTTCGATATTTCAATATAAGATTTATATTTACAACTAGCGGCCCGTCCCGGCGTCGCACGGATGGACAATTTTAAGATTTCCCTTCACTGCTCAGCTCCTATTGATCGTAGCGTGATGAAAAAGATACTATAACCTGCCCAGCAGTATAAAGAATAATTGTACCAAGTTTCGTTAAAATCCGTCGAGTAGTTTTTGTTTCTATAACGAACATACACGACAGACAGACATAAATTTTACTGATTGCATTTTTGTCATCAGTATCGATCACTAATCACCGCCTGATAGTTAATTTGGAAATATATTTCATGTACAGAATTGACCTCTCTACAGATTTATTATAAGTATAGATAGATTTACACCCGTGTGAAACTATAAAGTGTTAGTTACTTTGTTTCTCAAAATAAATATTTCATCGCAAAACGTCTAGTTCAGAAATTCTTATATACAGTTTGTCAATAACATATTACTATTTATTTATACATGTTGAAGACGGAAATGTAAAATTAGCTTTTTAAAAAAAAAACCTAACACAGTCATTTTATTTATGCAACTTAGAATGGCAAACAAGCTGACAGCCCACCTCATGGAAAGTGATAACCGTCGCCTATAAACACGAGCAGTGCCCTGGACATATCAGAGTATACTGTTTCACCCATGATACCCCCCATGCGTTGCCATTCCTGAGGACTCAGGTGTTATTCCTCTGTACCCTGTAAATTCACTGCACATCCCATCCTTCGAACCGAAATACAGCCATGCAAACATAACTGCTCCACGGTAGAAATGTATATTTGACACGTGTCAACTAAAAATAGAATACAGCCCACGTAGAAATTTTTTTTTTCTCTTTTTACTTACCTATTTATTTATTTATAAGATTTCCAACATAAAATACAGCGAAGCATGTCTATACAATATAATAGTTAGTCCTTACAGTTGGCCTAATGTCTAACCGTTCTTACATTTAAAGGCAACCACAGTATGCCCTGTATTTATTAATTCTTAATAATATTATTGTTAATAATAAAATTAAATTAAAAACACGAAAAGGTTAGCAAAGAAAACAAAAACAATAAAACATAACACAATTTTTATTTAATAAAAAACAATACAACAAAACATAAGGTAAATGGCTAACATAAAAAAAAATAAGGAAAGCAATGTACACAAAAGAAGTGTCCAAGCTATATAAAAAAAAATAAAGCTATAAAATTAAAATAAAAAAAAAACCACATAGGCTATTTTAATTTCAACAAGCAGTATTATTAAAATATTAGATTTATTTCATTCTAAGCATGCATTCTAAAATCAAAATATTTATTAGGTAGACGTTAAAAAGTAATTAATAATAATACATACTAATTTACACACATTCACATATAAAATTTTAAAAATACTTCATTCAATTATTCACTTACATGTCTCACAGTTGTAAAAAAAATCTGGAGCGGTCGTGAAAATTAATCGCAAACCCCAATCCACATGAAAAATACATTACACTTCCAGGATACCAAACATAATTCAATTAAAACAGAATGAAACGTTGTTAATTCTACTAGCTATCCTTTTTTGTACACCTCTCTCCCTCTATGTCCTTTTATAAGGTAAGTCAGTGATTTTAAACTTAAGATTAACACTATAATTCGGATTTATACAGTTCTTCATGTATTAATTTATTCATTATATACACTATAATGTGATGTTTATGAGGCTACGCGCGGTTATTTCATGGGTACGTTTCGAAACGCTGAAAAAATCGATCGCAGCCCTCATGAACAGCTGTCTGCCCGGGAACGGGCGGGCGGTGACTGAGCTATCTCGTCTGTGCTGCCACCTACACCATCATATCGATGTTCCACAGATATTCCACGGATTACATTTTATGATTTACTGTTGCAATAACGTATCATTACAACCGTAACATAATTGATTACTTTTTAATCTATGGCAATAAAGAAAGTGATATAATTTTTTTTAGTTACAGTTATAGACGATGTCATTCCGTCAGACAGCTGGGCGCCAAATGTTTGATTGAATTAGGTACACGACTGTTTTATTTAGGTAGTAATTGAAAATTGTGTGCAAAATAGTACCTATATTTGTAGTATTATCGTAACTCCGTCAAGAATATACTGATTTTAAAGCGATTGCTTTCTTATTTTACAGTATGTAATTCTCAAACAGTTGAAACTTCAATGCAATCTTTCTTTTATATCAGAGACTATGTATATAAGAGAGGAAAGATAGATACTTAGCAGATTTTATCTTCTTTTTTTCTAATAAACCATTGCTAAGGAACATGTATACGTTTTGTAAATGTCAACCCCTTAGATTATGGAAAAACCATATGATACCATACATCGGTATAATATCGTACATAAAGAAGTTTTTAAAAATTGAAATAACAATAAAATGAAAAATGTCACATTTGAAATTGGCGCCACGTAGCCGCCATATTGAATTTTTTTCAAAAAATTTATAACCTGTCGGATCGATTCTGAAGCACCATTTTTATAAACCTATCTCTAAAATCACAATTTCAATTTGATATTACAGCAAAACCAAAATGGATTAAATTTCTAATAGTTTAAAAATATATATATATATATATATATATTATAAATTTAGATTACAATAGTCTATAAAACAATAATTTTGCGAAACTATCAATTTTAAATATTAGGTTAGGAGCTTAGATTATGTAAATAGAGCATCGAATCTTAAAAAAAGGGCAGGCTACTTTTTACCAATTAATCGTCAAATCAGCTGTTTTGTTTCCCTTTTATTGTTATTTTATATTTAATTATACTTTATTGTACACAAAAATTACATTTTTATAATTAATTTTAAATAAATATGTACAACAGATCAGCTTAACTCTATAAGAGTTCTCTTCCAGTAAACCTTGTGTATAGGAGCATTAATTACCAACGGGAAGAAGAAGAAGAAGAACGAATATAGGACATTGTTTCATTTGTTCTATATTCTTACATTAAATTATATAAATAGAGTGTCTCCATGCAAATGCTTCTTAAAAAAACGGGTCAATTTTTACATACAATGGTGTACATGATAGGGTTACCAGATTAGAAAATTTTTACTTTCAATTAAGATAAATAAATGAAGGTCGTAATTTAAAATATTATTGGAATTAAATAATCCTTTATGATATTTAATTTTATTTATATACTAGCTGTTGCCCGCGACTTCGTCCGCGTTTAAAATAAGTAGCCTTCCTCACGGTTCAATGGTTTTGATGTAACACACACATTTCCCTTCATTGCTCTGCTCCTATTGATCGTAGCGTGATGAAAAGTATACTATAACCTGGCCAGGAGTATGAAGAATAATTGTACCAAGTTTCGTTCAAATCCGTCGAGTAGTTTTTGTTTCTATACTTAAAGATATTCGTACCTTGTACCTTGTACCTTGTACAGTAAGGGAACTCTTCAAGGGTTGGTAGTAAGAATTAGCAGAATTGTCAGTAGATTTCACTTATACAGTTTATAAAGTTCAAACGAATAACACAATATATATATATATATATATATATATATATATATATATATATATATATATATATATATATATATATATATATATATATATATATATATATAAACGAACACACAATATCACTTGATGTTTAAATAAAATAATATTTAAATCACCTACTAATTTTCTATTTTCGTAATAAACGACAGTCAACAATTGCTAGGCAACACAGCAATAGGTGTCACACCGCATTTAAATTTTGGACCAACCAAAAAGTATTAACATCCATAACGAATATACAAACAGACAGACAGACAATAATTTTACTGATTGCATTTTTGGCATCAGTCTCGATCACTAATCACCGCCTGATAGTTATTTTGGAAATATATTTCATGTACAGAATTGACCTCTCTACAGATTTATTATAAGTATAGATTTAATTATTTATTTATTAAGAATAATTTTTTTTTATTTTATTTATTTTTATTTTTAGATAACTGGGATCCATTCTTGTTAGTAAGTGTACTTAAAAACTATGTTAATACTTAATTACTAATAATGATCTAGTACTCTCGGAGAGCATTCTCACGAGAGGACTATCCAATTTATTAACAAACATGTTCAGGATACTGTTGCTACTCCCGCGTATTCGACGTAAAAACGAAGCTGTCTTTTTTCGCCAGACTGCGTCAAATGAAATGCGTTAAGAGTAATGCGTAGATAAAGAAAAAGAATGCAGTAGAATAGAATTTAATAATTATTTCATTACTTTAAAAATTAGTAAAATTTTGAAGCGAAAGTTGACAATCGATATTTTAATCCATATATACATTAAATATAGACGGATAATGGCAATCACCAAAGGGAGACTTTGTACAAAAGTCGATTGCTTGGGTACCTCTGTAGCATTCGTATTTCTACCGTGAAGCAGTTGTGTTTGCATGGCTGTGTTTCGGTTTGAAGGGAATGGCAACGCATGGGGGGTATCATGGGCGAAACAGTATGCTCTGTTATGTCCACGGTACTGCTCATGTCTATAGGCGACGGTTACCACTTTCCATCAGGTGGGCCGTCAGCTTGTTTGCCATTCTAAGTTGTATAAAAAAAAATAACGGTCATTTTAAAATTCTTTTTACTTAACCGATTTCTTTTTATACGAAAATCTTACAATCTTTGTAGATTTAAAACATGTATTAATGTTAGAATTATTTTAAGGGGGAGCCATTTTAATTTTATGCGGACTTTTGGAAACACCTAGGAATTGGAATAGAAAACATGAGTTAATAAATTATAATTAAGTTATTGAATGTAATAATAATTAATGAATTGTATTTTAAATTATATTTTGTTAATCCTTGTCCAAATAAATACTTTTATCACTTTAAATAAAAATGGCGGTCATTTTGATTAATTGAACATTTGACATTAAATATTGATATTGGAGTATCCCTATATATTTCAAATATGGATCCGATATCACGATTTATTAAAATGGCCGCCATTTTTATTTTCTTTGTTATTTTTTTTTATACGACTTAGAACGGCAAACAAGCTGACGGCCCATCTGATGGGAAGTGGTAACCGTCGCCTATAGACATGAGCAGTACCATGGACATAACAGAGTATACTGTTTCGTCCATGATACTCCCCATGCGTTGCCATTCCTGTGGTGGGTGTTATTTCTCTGTACCCTGTAAATTCAGTGCTATATCTCACCCTTCAAACCCCCCATGCGTTGCCATTCTTGAGGACTCAGGTTTTTTTTTTGCGTGTAAATGGCATGGTTACCCGACCTGCGCTATCGGTATACACCGGCGGGGTACCAGTGAGCGGTGATAGGTGAGGATGAAAAGGCAGGTCAGTTAGCCCGTTGTGACGAATTCAATGATAAATTGGTCACGATAGTTTCTAGGAGAAACCGCGTGGAGGTCGACCTGATAGAGTATATTGATAGCAATAGGGACTAAACTCCCCATTACTAACAATCCCTTCCCCCCGGACTCAGATATTATTCCTCTGTACCCAGTAAACTCACGCCATATCGTACCCTTCAAACCAAAACACAACCATGCAAACACAACTGATTCACGATTGAAACACGAATGGGACAGAGGTACCCAAGCAAACGACTTTTGTACAAAGTCTTCCTCTGGTTATTTAAAATCGATATCCGAGGTTCCATATATACTTCGTATATGGGTCCGCTGTCAGAATTAACGCAAATGGCCGCCATTTTTATTTAAATTTATCTTCTTTCAAATATGTCTTTGCCATAGTTGAAAGCTCCGTTCGCATCCTACGGTGGACACCAGACAATTATGAGGTAAGCAAGGACCACGTGACCTACATTCGTTTAGCCCCTGCGTTATGTAAAAAAGTGCCCTGGCAACGTGTGAGGAGTGCCCCGGTGTCACAGTACATCCTATGATGTTTACAACGCGGTTCATATATATAAGCGACAGCTTATTTCACAGTACATAAAAAAAATGCTTTACATTTGCCTTTGCCAAAAAAAAATTTATTTATTTATTTATTTTATTCTTTATTGCACAATAAAACTTTGTCCAAGTGGCGAGCTTAATGCCATATGACATTCTCTACCAGCTAACCATTGGGTAAAAACAGAAAGCGTATGAAGGACAGACGTGGTGAAAAATATGCGACATAATTATTATAACATACTGAAATAATCAGTCATAATAAAATATGTAATTTTTTTTTCTATTTTTTATTATTTCAAATATAATACGGAATGTGTACAGTTGAGAAAACATGTTATAATATACCTTGTTTCAATAGAACTTAACAAAAATATAAACAAAGTTGTGGCGTTTGTAAATAAATATTGTACATATTCATCTTTTTTTTTCTATACAACTTAGAATGGCAAACAAGCTGACGGTCCACCTGATGGTAAGTGGTAACCGTCGCCTATAGACACGAGCAGTACCGTGGACATAACAGAGTATACTGTTTCGCTCATGATACCATACCATCTCATAGCTACTTGTCAACATCATTACTTTCTTTTCCATCAAGTAGGTTAATTAAATTGTACACATTTATTTCGTCTCTTTCTTTCTTTCATACTGCTCGTACAGACACGACAGCGATATTTACTTCTTACATTCATTTGTGCTGCCATTCTCTCCATCTCGATCGCTCGCCTCTGGCAATTCTAATTTCCTTTTTTATATATTATTTTCTACATATTTCTTTGTATATAATATTTACCTTCTGTACATAATATATGTGAATAGACAAAGCTAGTTGTTATACTTATTTCCCTCCAAACAACTACAAAGGAATAATCGTTCCGACCGTAAGACAGCCCGCCGATGCCCAAACAATAGTACAAATAAAAAAAAAAAACTATTACTCATTGGACGTTTCGATTCGTTACTAACTTCATGTAGAAACTGTTTCTCTGATAACTTCATTCAAATTGAAAAACTGGTTAATTATTTTTATTTCTATTTTTCCTCTATTTTTTTTAGTTCTACTGAAAGGGTTTATGGAAGTATGACGTCACAGCTCGTAGGGTTGTCACGCGTCGTCCTGCAAGTAAGGAGTCCAAATTTATTAATTAATTTATTTAAAGGAACATCAACAGCATATTGCATTATAATACATATAACAAACATTAAATACAATACAATATTAATGCACACGCCTATTATAGGTATTCACAGCATTTACTTTAACATATTTAACTATGCTGTCACAGATATTATTTCTTACAAATCTATTTTTTTTAACGCGCCACCTACCTATTTATGCTTTAACTCCTTCTACCCAAAGGTTGTCTGGCAGAGATTGCTTAGCAAAAAGACCGCCTTTTGTACTACACTATACGTATTGTAAATTGTTTTAACAAATCCTGTTATGTTGGTGCAATAAAGTGTTAAATAAATATGTAGTTATACAGTGCGAGAGGGAGACTTTGTACAAAAGTCGATTGCTTGGGTACCTCTGTCCCATTCGTGTTTCAACCGTGAAGCAGTTGTGTTTGCATGGCTGTGTTTCGGTTTGAAGGGTGGGATATGACGTGAATTTACAGGGTACAGAGAAATAACACCTGAGTCCTCAGGAATGGCAACGCATGGGGGATATCATGGGCGAAACAGTATACTCTGTTATGTCCATGGCACTGCTCATGTCTATAGGCGACGGTTACCACTTTCCATCAGGTGGGGCCGTCAGCTTGTTTGCCATTCTAAGTTGTATAAAAAAAAAAGATACTTTAGTCGCCTCTTACGACACCCACGGGAAAGGTAGGCCATTCTACGCCGAAACCATACGGCGATATCACTGGTTAATTAGTTACAATTATTTTAATTCGATATGTATTTGTGTTTATAGTCGATCTTCGAGTGTTGCCAGTCGCACACATACTAATGGTAGCTTAATTAAACAAAATAATTCTGTACAAATAACCAGTTATATTTATAGTCCAACAAAAAAAGGTTCGTAGCAAAACCAGTCATGTATTTTAATTTAAAACGCCATCTAGTGAATCGATTGTGATGATATTTCTATTGGATCCATCTGAAGGATTTTTTTGTGGGTGAAAATGACATGGCAACCCCGCCTGCGCTATCGCAGCGGTTCGCCTTGGAAACCATCATGGTTAATTCTTATGTAAATCGTCACGATGGACTAATTGACCTGTTCTGAACCTCATTTCTCACCTCCCACTGGTGCCCCGCCAGTGTATACCGATCAGGGTTACCAATCCATTATCACCCATTAAAAAAAAGCAACTGCTAATGCCCGCAGAGAGAAAGGGATTGTTAGTAAAGGAGTTAAACAGCCTAATTGCTAGCAATACATATACACTATCAAGTCGACCTCCACACGGCTCCCCCTGGAAACCATCATGCTTGGTTCTTGACGAATTCGTCATGATAGGCCAACAGACCTACATCCATCACTCACTGAATCCTCGCCAGCTTTTTCTAGCAGGGGGGAAGGGATTTTTAGTAATGAGGATTAGCAACCCTATTACGAACAATATAATCTATCAGGTCGACCTCCTCGCGGTTCCCCCTGGAAACCATAGTGATTGTCCCATTATTGAATTTGTCACGATGGGCTAACTGATCTGCTTCATCTTCACTTATCACCCCTCACTGGTGCCCCGTCAGTATATACCGATAGCGCAGGCGGGGTTACCGTTCCATTGTCATCCATTAAAAAAAAGTTTATTCCGTCATCAGAGGCGGGGTTACCATTCCATGAACTTCATTAAAAAAAATACATAGTTGTTACCTTCATATCTCGAGTTTTATAATTATTATTTCTTGTATATATCATGCACATCATGTCAGCCATTGTCTGTCCACTGCTGGACATAGGCCTCCCCCATAGACTGCCATAAGCAACGGTCCTGGCCACCATCACCTACTGACTCCTTTTTGGTATATATATTTATGTAATTGTATCTACCTTTGACCCCCTTTAACCACCCCCCACTAGATGACTAGATGGAGAGACGATCTCAAATGCATTGCATGGAGTCAGTGGATGCAGGTGGTTCAGGACCGATCCTTATGGCAGTCTATGGGGGAGGCCTATGTCCAGCAGTGGACGAATAATGGTTGAAATAATGATGATCATCCTCTGAGGGGAACAGAAGGAGATATTGTACAAAAGTCGTCTGCTTGGGCACCTCTGTCCCATTCGTGTTTTTACCGTGAAGCAGTTGTGTTTGCTTGGCTGTGTTTGGGTTTGAAGGGTGGGATATGGCAGTAAATTTACGGGGCACAGAGTAATAACCTGGGGGGAAAGGGATTGTTAGCAATGGAGTTTGACAGCCCCATTGCTACCAATATGCCCTATTAGGTCGACCTCCACGCGGTTCCCCCTGGAAACCATCGTGAACCATTCTTGTTGAATTCGTCACGATGGGCTAACTGACCTGCTTTATCCTCACCTATCATCCTTTACTGGTGCCCCGCCGGTGTATACCGTTAGCGCGGGTGGGGTTACCATCCCATTATAACCCATTAAAAGAATAATAACACCCGAGTCATCAGGAGTGGCAACGCATAGGGGGTACCATGGACGAAACAGTATACTCTGTTATGTCCATGGTACTGCTCATGTCTATAGGGGACGGTTACCACTTACCATCAGGTGGGCCGTCAGCTTGTTTGCCATTCTAAGTTGTATAAAAAAAAAAAAAAAAACAATAGAGTACACATTTTGGAACATACAAAGAAAACTAAAGAGTGTCAGTTCTACCCAGTCATTTATTCTATGGTAAAAACTTATGAATAAAACGACGTTGAATTTAAATAAATTTAAGTAAATAATATGATACATTTAGCACGTAACTAGTTTAGGTACAAACTGAACGCCGGTGGTCCGTAGGTACACACACATTCGCACATATACACTATATAATACAAGTCTTTGAGCACACACTATCATACCATGTTGCGCCCGTTGTCGCCCGCTATCCTGTCCACGATCTGGAAACATACAATTTAATATTAACATAAATAACAAATATATTCACAAAAACAGATATGTACTTTAACTGCGAACACGCACACAGGCGCGCGTGCTCGCACGCACGCACGCCCTCACGCACGCATGCACGCACGCACGCACGCACGCACGCACTCACGCACACACGCACACACGCACGCACGCACGCACGCGCTCACGAACGCACGCACGCACGCACGCACTCACGCGAGCACTCACGCAAGCACGCACGCACGCACGCACGCACGGCCGCATGCATGCACTCACGCACGCACGCACGCACACTCGCACGCACACACGCATAGGCGCACGCACGCACACACACACACACACACACACAAACTTACGCACGCTTAAACGAGTCAGCTAATTTGACAATTAGCTGACAAAATGTTGGCCACTTTTTGAGGCTCGCGACTCTATCTATATAATCTAAAATTGTACCCAATATTAGCAGAGAGAGGCGTGACGGATATATATATATGTATGATTTTTTTTTATACAACTTAGAATGGCAAACAAGCTGACGGCCCACCTGATGGAAAGTGGTAACCGTCGCCTATAAACATGAGCAGTACCGTGGACATAACAGAGTGTACTGTTTCGCCCATGATACCCCCCATGCGTTGCCATTCCTGAGGACTCAGGTGTTATTCCTCTGTACCCTGTAAATACACTGCCATATCGCACCCTTCAAACCGAAACACAGCCATGCGTACACAACTGCTTGACGGTAGAAAAAAAAGTATAGATAACGACTTACCCCTCTTATAAATGGTAGGTTTAGTACACTTCCTAGCACTGGGATCATTCTCAAGAAGTTGATGGCAGCTGGCAGGAATCCTCTGAAAATAAAAATATTCACTTTAAAATCTGCTTTAAAAAAGAGTGAAAGTTTTTTTTTTTTAATGGACGATAATGGAATGTTAACCCCGCCTGTGTGGAGGGAAAGGAATTGTTAGTAATGGGATCTAACAATCCCATTGCTAGCAATATACTTTATCACTTCGAGCTACACGCGGTTCCCCCTGGAAACCATCATGGTTAGTTTTTTTTTACACCACTGAGGTGGCAAACAAGCATACGGCCCACCTGATGGTAAGCGGTTACCATAGCCTATGAACGCCTGCAATACCAGATGTATTACGCGCGCGTTGCCGACCCTGAAGAAACCTCTTTACCCCCCTTTTGAAGAACCCCATGCTGTAGTCTCTTGGGAAAACCTCGGCAGGGGGCTCATTCCATAACCTGAGTGTTCGTGGGAAGAAACATTTCTGAAACCGCGTTGTACGCAACCATTTAGGCAGTTATTGTAGATTTCGTCACGATGGGCTAACTGACCTACTATCACCTCTCCTATCATCCCTCACTGGTGCCCCGTCAGAGTATACCGATAGTACAGGCGGGGTTACCATTCCATTATCATCCATAAAAATAGTCATGGCCCATTTCAATACCAAATCACATTTTCTTTCACTGTAGTTACTCTTTTCCATTCCTTTGTAATTTTTGGACTAGATTTGTCATATTTGCTCCTTGTGTGTGCTATGTATGTATTTATATGTGTATGTTTATGTATTTTGTATATATATTATATATATATATATATTATATATATATATATATATATATATATATATACGAGGTCTGTCCGGAAAGTTCGTATAAGTATAAAAGTGTTCTGGAATGCGAGAAAGAGGAGTGGGGAGGCCAGGTAAGCGCAGGACCCCTTCCTTATGTCCCTAACAATGCTTCAGTTCTGGTCTGACCGCCGTGCGGTGCGAACTGGCTTGTCACGCCATCTGTGAAGTTACCTCTTAACGAAACCCCGTCGGCATGGAGCCCGCTTCCGTTGAAGAGCAGCGCGTCGTAATCAAGTTTCTCTCGAAACTCGGCAAGAATGGCCGTGAAATTTTTGCCGATCTAATTCGATAAGACATCCGGGGAACCACGAACAAAAAAATCAAGAAAATCCCGCTCAAATGTCAAGACAATGTTGATTGTTTTTTTCGATGTTCGGGGGATTGTCCATCAAGAATTCGTCCCTCCAGGCCAGACAGTTGATGGAAAATTCTACGTCGATGTGCTCAGACGCCTCAAAGCTCGTGTGGCACGAGTTCGTCCAGAATTGGCGCGAGAGGGGCGTTGGATTCTTCACCACGACAATGCCCCTGCCCACACCTCTCTTGTTGTCCGTGAGTTTTTGAGTAAAAATTCCATTACGGTGACCGAACACCCCCTATTCGCCGGATTTGGCCCCGTGTGACTTCTTCTTGTTCCCAAAAACCAAATTGGTACTTCGGGGGCGGCATTTGGGGGACATAAATGAGATAAAAAAAAGCTACGACGGGGCAGCTGAGAAACCTACAACCAGAGGACTTTCAAGGAGCCTTCTCACAGTGGAAACGGCGTTGGCACAAGTGCATTATGTCACAGGGGGAGTACTTTGAAGGGGATAAAATTGATTTACCTGAATAATTGTAAAATAAAATTTTTAAAAAACTTTTATACGTACTTTCCGGACAAACCTCGTATATATATACATATATATATATATATGTATATATATATATATGTGTGTGTGTGTGTGTGTGTATATATATATATATATATATATATATATATATATATATATATATATATATATATATATATATATATATATTGTTTTGTAAATAGTTTAATAAATTATATGTATTTGACATTTTTGTGCATTACAGGTTATTGTATTTTGTGCACGAAAAATTATTAATTCACTCTTGCGCCACCTACCCACTTCTATCTGTTCTCCTTCAACCAAAGGTTGTCTGTAAGAGATCGCCCTAGCGATAACACCGCCTTTTGTACCTTTATGTGTATATTTCAATCTGTATTTTATTTATATTACTGTATTTCACTTGAATTATTCACTTATCATTGTATATTTTTATTTATGGTGCAATAAAGAGTTAAATAAATAAATTAATATTGCTCATACTATTTAATATATTCGTCATTGTGTCAATATATAGATATTGTAACTATATACTATATGATATACATATATGCATTTAAAAACAGAATTTACATCGTGCCTCCGATCAAACTGTTTATAATTACTCCTCTCTATCCAAAGGTTGGCTGCAAGAGATCGCTCTTAGCAATAAGGCCATCCATTGTTGTCTCACTGTGATCGTTTCTTGTAATTGTTTGTATCTATAATAAGTTTACTATTGTAATCTTATGGAGGAAACAATAGAGAGTATCTATCTATCTATCTATGATATATATTAATACAGACTAGTGATTTACCTGAACAGTAAAAGGAATCCATATATCTCGGCTATCATCCCAAACATGGGCCAGCCCATGAGGACTATCGTGATGCCTCCGAAGAAGGCCACGGACGCCTTTACTTTATGCCTTTGGAAGAAAAAGAAGAAGGTCCTCTGCAGACCTATGATGCAAGCCAGACCACTGATGAACAATATCTGCAAGGAAAAAAAATTATGAAAGGTCCATCGAATGTAGGCTTAAATTTTTGAAAAACTTAAACAAATAATATGCCTATATGTATAAACGTCTAGTCACTATTGAATTGGGGGTAAAGGGATTGTTAGTAATGGAGTTTGACAGCCCCATTGCTAGCAATATGCCCTATTAGGTCGACGTCCACGTGGTTCCCCCTGGAAACCATCGTGAACAATTCTTGTTGAATTTCTCACGATAGGCTAACTGACCTGCTTCATCCTCACCTAACATCTCTCACTGGTGCCTCTCAAGTATATACCGATAGCACGGGCGGGGTTATCACTCCATTATCACCCATTAACCCTTAAATACGTGAAGTTTCAAATTTAATGCCGGGGTTATAAATCGCATTGGGCGCCTACAATCGATTTTATTTTAATATTTGGCTGTTTACATGTTACCAAATGTTTTTTTTTTAAATATATAAAAATATCCTTTTGATTTTTTTTACTATTTTTCCCCATTAGTAAACACAGTAAAAGTATATGTGTACCTTTATATATTTTTTAATTTTATTTTAAAAAGTCAGGCTTTTAAGGGTTAAAAAAAACAGTATTTCATTATATTAGTAAGTAAAGGTAATTCTCACATTGCCTATTGCCAACAGGCCTTTGTCAAATAGCAACAGTATCCCCAGGAAAAGGAATGTCATCCCAAACCCCACCAGGCCAACACCGATTTCTGAAACAAAAATAATAATTAACTGATTAATGGCGTCAATGCGCACGCGATCACCATCGTGGTTAATCCTAGTGGAATTCGAATCTATCTTTTTTAACGCGCCACCTACCTACTTATGCTTTAATCCTTTCTACCCAAAGGTTGTCTGGAAGAGATTGCTTAGCAATAAGACCGCCTTTTGTACTACACTATACGTATTGAAAATTGTTTTAACAAATCATGTTATGTTGGTGCAATAAAGTGTTAAATAAATAAATAAATAAATAAATTCGTCACGATGGGCTAACTGACCTGCTTTCATTCATTTCTCACTGGTGCCCCGCCAGCGTATACCGATAGCGCAGATAGGTGGGGGGGGGGGGGGGGGGGTACCATTCCACACATTAACAAAAGTCACGTTATCTATATATTGGGTTTTCACAACAATCGGATATCTCTATTTCAGTAGAGTTCTTTATTTTGGTATTATATTTGGTAAGTAATCGACATTTAATACATTTGTTACTAGGCAAATATATAGATATTATAACTACAATATATATATATATATTGCTATATATTTTCCACTTTATATTATTTCCGGCGACCACTATGGGTAATTTTTACGTTTTTACGTTATTTTCACATTAGTTTCCTTAAAATAAAAAAAATTCTAAAAATACCTGTATCAGTAAGTATCGATACTTCAGGAGTATTTGTTTAAGTAATATCGAAATAAGATTTGATAACTATCGAAATGAGTAGGTATCGATACCTTGACGGTATCGGAACATCACTAGTGGCCGGTCACTAAACAAAATTAGACAAGAAATAATAGATGGCGCTGGAGTCGAGACTTGTGGTTTTAATTGATTATTTTGTAATTAAAGACAATTGGAAGTAAAATTTCTAAATTGACGAGTGGTTTTTGTTATTATGTACAAATGTGGAAAGACAGATAATACGCCATCTTTTACAGGATGAATTATAACGCACACAATTGCAATATCTCTTGCTAGTATGTGTTTTATTACAAAATTGTACAATATGAGAGAATAAAGACAAAAATAATAATAAATATATTATTATATCACTAAAAAATAAATAAAGCCACTCGCCAATTTATAAATTTTGCCTCGAATTATATCAGGTTATGGAAAGAACTCCCTGCAGAGGTTTTCCCAAGAGACTACAGCATGGGATTCTTCAAAAGGGAGGTAAAGAAGTTTCTTCAGGGTCTGCAACGCACACTTAATACCTCTGGTATTACAGGTATTCATAGGCTACGGTAACCATCATTAGGTAGGCTGTATGCTTATTTGCAACCTCAGTGGTATAAAAAAAAATTATAAAAAAAAAAAACCATAATAAAATATATAACTTCATTCTACCGCCATCTAGTGTTTCATGTCCAATTATGTTTAGTGACCGGTCGGTTAATGACCTTAAACATTAATATATAAATAAATATTAAAATATAATTTAAATTAATAATAAATTTAATTAGTGTTTTAAACAACATGAGACAAATGGGAACTTAATAAAATCACTGCTTGTCATTTCCAATAATCATTTCCACTATATCCAAGAGTCTTAAGATTTCAAAATAATGCTTTACGGTCCACACGAGTGTAATGCCCCTGTTATTGCAGGCATTCATAGGCTATGGTAACTGATTACCGTCAAATGAGTTGTATGCTTGTTTACCACCTCTGTGGTGTTAAAAAAATACAATGGTTTTGTTTATTAATTATACAATATCTCTATTGCATACTTTATTTACTATAGAGCAGAAGTTCTCAAAGTTTTTCAAATTATATCACATATGTAGATTTAGTCAAAAACATATTGAGAAATTGAAAATGATTTTTTTACTAAAATTAATTACTTAAAAAACAATACAGATATAAATAATATTTATTTATTTTAACTTTGATACCCAATTATACAAATTAATCCTCCTTTAACCAAAGGTTGTCTGTAAAAGATTGCTCTAGCGTTAAGACCACCTTTTGTATCTTTATGTATATATTTTAATCTATACTGTATTTCACTTGAATTGTTCTTATGTTATTGTTTATTTATGTTTCTGGTGCAATAAAGTGTTAAATAAATATGTCCACATATGGTGTACTCGATACCTAATGGCCTCTACCAGTCAACAATGTGGCAGGTAGAGAAATAAATAGGTGGTGCATTTATTGTTAAATAAGTGCAAATTAAGTTACAATACCTGAAATAAACTAATGTCTTCATAAATAAAATAATCTCTCTTCCAACCTTGATACTGGCAACATCATCAAAGCCCCAATAGGACCATAATTTAAAAAAAATATTTTTTTTTTAAATATGAATTAGTCATAATTGAAAAAAGAATAGAATTTTCAAATTTAATAACATGTCTGCGTGCAATCTTGGCACGTAGATAAATTATTAAAATTTGAAACTTGTGCACTAATAGCGCCAATTAAATTAGTAGATTACACCCTAAAAGTTAAAGTAGTTAGAATATATAATCATAGTTTATTGACAATAATTTACAAAAGGTTTACCATCGTTAATCATAAAATTCAATCAAAGAAACTTGTACAAATGTGTTAAAAGACTCTATACAAATTCTCCCTCATTATTTATAATGATTTAATGAGGAATTCATTAAAAGAAATTGAAAAAATATATTAGGAAATAATTCAAACAAACCATAGCTAGTAAGGTCAGGCTTGTTATATTGTACTTACTTTGAACGTCAGATATTTCAATCATTTTGTTGTTTTATTTAATATATGGAGATTTAACCTATTTGTGCTCATAGAAACAGCTCATTAAATTGTAAATAAATTAATACAACAAATTCATAACCTATTACTCCACGTCATTTTAGCTATCGAATATTTGTTTTGTCAAAATTGACAATGTAATCTTATTGACTGTCAATGTCTAATTGACATGAGCTATATAGTCCTAAGAACAAGGAATTACATACATACATACATACATATCTGTCACGCCTGTCTCCCATTAGGGTAGGCAGAAACAATGGAACGCCAAATGCTTCGATTCAAACAAACCTCTTTCGCTTCTTCCACATTCATCAATCTTGTCATACACGCTCGTCGGTTACGGGTACTTTTAATTTGGCCCTTCTTCAGCACGTCGCCTATTTGGTCGACATACGTCCGTCTAGGGCGGCCCCTACCGACATCTCCATTCATTCTTGCTCGATAAATCTCTTTCGTAATTCTTCTTTCATCCATCCTCTCCAAATGACCAAACCAACGCAACATTCCTTTTTCGATTTTGGTCACTACATCGACTTTCAGTCCACACTTCTCTCAAATTACATTGATTGATAAAATAAAAACTATAAGTGATATGGTTGACTCCTTTTTTCTTATGCAAATATAATTAGCAAAAAGAGGACGAAAGATAGACTATCAGTTGCTATTTTTCTCAAATAATAGCAGGCTAGTGTATAAAAAATGTTCTTAGGTATAGTCATAACTAGAAGTGAGTTATAACAGGACAAACATAATATATGTTATATATTATTATATATATATATGGTATATATTATTACGTAATAATAACATATTCAAATTTCTGTTATTAAATAACATGTGTTATTTTTTCAATCAAGGCCCATTAAGAAGGAAATAACATATATGTTCGCGACATTATTGTATATGTGTAATTATAGTGATATTTATAGCAATGTTTATAGTTAGTTGTTAAGTCCCTAGTTTAATCGTTTTTGTATACTGTTATTTTTATATAGATTTTACATAGATTTAAGATACCCATAGTGTAAGTTAAATAAAGTATTCCTTTGTGTGTTGTCATTATTACCTACAAATAGAAATAGAAATTGTAACAATAAATAGAATTAAGAAATTGTAAATTGTAATAAATAAATAAACGCTATAGGGTACCGATCTGAAGAGACACGCGTCTCGTTCATTCTCGCCCCGTCCCGCTCGCGCAGATTCGCTAACGCGAGTTGGAAACGTTATCGTGCGAGCGGGCGGGTATAAAGATAGGCCGCCTCCCGTCGAGCGGCATTCGCTTCCGGGCAGCGACACACTACACTCGAGAAGAAATAGGACAAGAAGAAAAAATACTCTCTTCAGACGGTACCGGAGGCTTCAGAATAGTAATCGCTGTGTTTCACTCCAGCCTGAACCAACGCCCCTACAGTCCACGCTCACCGAACGGCAGTCCACACCGTTCATCGTGGTCCTTCGAGACGCCGGATTGCTGGAGGAACACCGTTGGTACATCGAGAAGCCGGATCGCTGGAGGAAGACCATTCTGAAGCCGGATCACTGAAATGCCGACTACGAGAAACATGAAGTCATCGCAACAAAAAATCGCCGTCACCGAAGCCACAACGTCCGCCGCCACCACGTCGACTACGGCCGCCGGAACGCTGTCCGTCGCTGCCACGCCGTCCGTTGCTGCCACCACGTCGTCTGCGGCTGTCAGAACGTCATCTGTCGCTGCCACGTCGTCTACCGCCGCCACCACATCGACTACGAACACGTCCGGCGATACGACGACCACAGGAGCCACGGAGACTACCGAAGCCACAGGAACGACAGAGGAGACAGCAAGGAAGAAGGAACCGAAGCACGGCACGGCACGCACGGTTCGCACCACGGCCTCGCAGAAGAAGAAGGCTCTGGCCAAGGCACGGGAGGAGCTACTTCGAAAGGAGGTGGAATTGGCTGCTGCACGTGTCGCCGCCCTGGAAGCCGAATCAGAGGACGACGAGGAAATAGAAGACGACGACGCTACCGTCAGAAGAGAACGAACGTCGGATTGGGTTCATCGAAGCACGCTAGCACTCACGATGGAGCCGCATGTACCAGAGATAGAAGAAGTCACCGGCAAGCGTCAGGGGTTCGTCCCATCGAGACCCGTTGAAGAGGATTCGAGAGCGCCGCCGCCACAGCCGAGCAGCGACGCACTTCACCGGGACCACGCACGCCACGTTGACCCACATGCCGCCATGCCTACGATAGCAGCAGCGATGCAGTCGATGAAGAAGGAAGAACCGGTGCTGAAGGTGGGCATCGATTGTAATGAGTTTGCGATCGCCATGCAGATGGCCGCTCGCAACATACTGCCCTCCACAGCGTCAAGAGTCACCGAGTTGCCAGTCTTCAATGGATCGTCGAGCGAGTGGTTACCATGGAAGATGGCCTATGAAGAGAGCGCAAGTCAACTCACAGAACAAGAGAACCTAGCAAGACTGCGCAGAAGTTTGAAGGGGGCCCAAAGGACGCGGCACGCTCCCTATTCGTCGGGTCTACGACCGCAGAAGAAGTAATGAAGATGTTAGCCGCGAGGTTCGGCCGCCCTGGAGCACTCGTCACAGCCGAACTGAACAAACTCCGCGCGCTACCACGACTCTCGGACAACGCAAGAGACGTCTGCCTCTTCGCAAGCAAGGTGCAGAACGTCGTCGCCACGATACGAGCGCTGAACAAGAGTCACTACCTCTACAACGAAGAAATAGTGAGAAACGTCACAGAGATAATGCCGTCGGTACTACGCTTCAAGTACTACGATTTCGCCAACGACCAACCGGAGGGACAACCGGACCTCATAACACTCTCTCAGTTCCTGCAAAGGACCGCCGCACGATGTGGAAACTTCGCCCCCGCCGAGGAGATACCGTCCGAAGACCGGCGGGAGTCCGCTCCTAGGAAGACGGCGAAGACATACACGACGCAGGAGAAACCCGCTACACCACCGTGCCCGATGTGTCGACGAGAGAGACACGCTCCATCGGACTGCAAGACGATGAAGGAAGCAGACACATCGGCGAGATGGGAGTTAGCGAAGACTCATAGGCTGTGTTTCCGTTGCCTCAAAGTGAGAAGATTTCGCCACGCCTGCAAGAGCAAGAGATGTGGAGTGGATGAGTGCACGCAGACTCATCACCCTCTGCTGCACACCACGCGACAACAGCCGGAGAACGAAGTGACAACACACGTCATCGAGGACAAGTCCGCCGCAGTCGCCGCATCGGCAAGGGAAAACGACAAGATCGCGTTCCTGAAGATCCTGCCGATACGAGTCACCGGTCCCACGGGAACGTGCGACACCTACGCGCTACTGGACGACGGGTCGACTTGCACCATCATCGAGACGGCGGTGGCGGAGCGAATCGGTGCTACGGGTCCCCCCGCACCATTCTACATGGAAGGTGTGGCCGGGGCACGGATCAACGCAGCTCAATCGACGCGTGTTCACTTCAAGATCCACGGGCGGAATTCACAAGAATACACAGTGGGGGCACGGACGACGGACAGACTGCAGTTATCACCGCAGTCGGTACCGCGCAGCGTCATCAAGGGCTGTCCACATCTACAAGACATAGAGAGGGAACTGGTCTATGAAGAGGGCAAACCGACGGTATTGTTGGGGCAAGACAACTGGCACCTACTGCTGGCCCACGAAGTCAGAAGAGGATCCGACACGCAGCCGGTCGCATCACTCACCGACCTGGGATGGGTACTGCACGGTACGAGTCGCGGCAGGACAAGACAGCAGGTGCACAGAATCAGCCACATAGTGACGACACATGAAGAGGAACAATCGATGGAAGAAATGATGAAGCAACATTTCGCGCTCGAATCGCTGGGAATCGCACCGAAGAGGTCTTACAATGAAGAAGAACGTCGCGCCCTACGCATTTTAGAAGAGAAAACTCGTCCGCTACCGGCGGGAGGATACGAGACGGGGTTATTATGGAAGAAGGACGACCCTGTGCCGCCGGATAACTACGAATCGGCAATGCGACGTCTCCAACTGGTCGAAAGGAAATTCGACAAAAACGAAGAACAGTGGCCGCGTGAAGATAGTTCAAGCGACGATAGTCAAGCGAAAACGGGAGAAGAACGCGTACACAAGCTACAGAACGCGACGCAGTTGTCTATAGCATTACCCGATCCGTCACGTTTTTCTAATTGGTTGAAACTTGTTCGCAGTTCAGCACGGGTGTTGCAGTTCATCGACCTCCTGCGACCGACCAGTCAACGCTGCACCGCCATCCGAAAGAGAAACAAGAAGAAAGAGAGCACCGACCCCACTTGGACCCGCACGAAGAAAGTTGATAGAGAGAAGACGAAGATGAAAATCAAGAACAGCAATAGTCCATCTGTGTGTTTCATCCCCATAGACACACACTACCTAGATCGCGCGCGACGGCTATGGATTCGCGCGATACAACAAGAGGCGTTCGGCGACGAAATCGCAGTATTGAAACAAGGGAAACAGCTGCCGTCATCCAGTCGACTCATACAGCTGTCAGTCGTCATAGACAACGACGACATTCTGCGTCTTCGATCGAGAATAGCAGCCGCCGCCGATCTGTCAGCCGAGCAACGAGAGCCCCCCATCGTCGACGGAAACCACGCCTGGGTGCGCCTATACATCGCATGGGTGCATCGGAAACTTTACCACGGCGGCTTCGAGATCACCACGAACGAGGTGCGACAACACTTGTGGGTGTTGCGCCTACGACACGCCGTCCGCAGTGAACTGAAGAGGTGTCAGCTGTGCCGCCTACGAAGAGCAAGACCGGCGCAGCCGTCAACGGGCAACCATCCACAGAGCAGGCTGGCGCATCATCAACGACCGTTCACGTTCACCGGCCTAGACTACTTCGGGCCTATGACCGTGACAGTGGGCCGCACTCACCAGAAGCGATACGGAGTGCTCTTCACCTGCCTAACGACGCGCGCAGTCCACCTAGAAATCGCCGGCAGCCTCAGCACGGACTCCGCCATAATGGCCCTGCGGCGCTTCATAAGCCGCAGAGGGTGTCCCGCTGAGCTATGGTCCGACCAAGGCACCAACCTCAAAGGTGCCGACGTCGAACTGAAGAAAGCA